AAATGTGATATTCAAGGTGAGCCAGGCCTTTGACAAATCATATTCATAGTTGGATTGTCGATTAGGCAAATATGTATTTACCATTGCAATATGCGAATTTGCATAGTTCCTGTATATGTAGATTTTGAGACAATCAGTTTTCGTGACTACCAGTAAATCAGTAGTATGAGATGTATTCACCCAATTTCGTTTAAGGTGATGAAGGAATCGTAGAAGAAGAATTTTTTTTCGTGACTACCAGTAAATCAGTAATATGAGATGTATTCACCCAATTTCGTTTAAGTTGATGAAGGACGTCAACTCAACTCATATCATTGTGGGGGGATAAGGGACTGGTAGAAGAAGAATTTTCCCACAATGATATGAGATGAGCTGACGTTTTCATTGAATCTTCTTCTACCAGTCCTTCATCACCTTAAACGAAATTGGGTGAATACATCTCATACTACTGATTTACTGGTAGCCTCATACCAGTCCTTCATCATCTTAAACGAAATTGGGTGAATACATCTCATATTACTGATTTACTGGTAGTCACAAAAACAATACCCAAATCGAAAAATAATATAAATTAGTCAAAATAATCTGGTAGGTTTTAGCACCCATTTTTGAACATTCCATTGTCAGGTGAGGTGGGTAAGAAGTACTTCGCGTCGGCGAATATGCTGAACCATTAGGCCTACAGGCAATCTTAATCAGGGCAGCAAAAATGGATGAGATTTGCTGTCATTTTGCAGGCCTCATCAGAGCTGAATACCATTCTTGTAAGCCGACGAATCAAGAACACACACAGGCTAGTCCTTATGCTCAGTATATCCCCTCTAACCCCATGAATATTTATGAGGTAATGAGTGATTTAGTTTATTCATGTTATATGTTACTATGAAAACGTGAGCTCGTCTACTTGTGCGTGCATATGTGCGTTTATCTGTGCGTGAGTGGATACAATCTTGATTGATAACTTCAATACATTACAATATAGTGCAACATCTCTCTTCGATCAGCCAGGTTTTATTACAATTGTTTAAACCGTAACTCCGTTGTCGTAATAACGGACACACGTCCGGTTGGATAAACGTGATTTTTGGGTGAACTCAGATGTATCCATAATTTGACTGTACCTAGACCCGACTTCCTGTCTGTATTCCTGATGTTCGTTGCATTGTTTAATCTGTTTATTTCAATGGTCGCGCAAATTTTGTGCTCAGCTGCAGGCCTACTATAATCAGCCGAAAATAAAGTTGATAATATCTTATCCCATATCAAGTTTTTGTGATGTATGAGGCCTCCAATTCAGTCGAAGTCGCCCTTCATTGTAAAGAGGCCTTTATAACCTCGTCTTCACAAAATGTCTGGAAATGTACCAATTCCATGGTTTGACCCTGGAAATTTTCATGACAACAGAAGCAGAGGACTTCAAACAAGACGCATTCGCCTATGCCAGCCTGAGAATACAACCAACTTGTAAAAACGAGGTCAAACCACCAGCTTCAAGTTGTACTTCAAACCGATTTTTCCTTATTTCATTACCACTTCGCCTAGCCTTGCAGCTGGAAGGCGCAAAAGCAAAGTCAAGCTTTGACAAAAGGCTTTCGATTCTACACTCACTTTCAAATACACTCTGTTCAAAATGTTATTCTATTAAGCTGATGATAGATTCAATCAGGCCTAGCAAATAGGTATTATTCTCAGGCAATTATTGTTTATATATGAGGTGTATTCACTCTATTTCGTTCAAAGTGATGAGAGGACTGGTAGCCGAATTTTTCCACATTAAATTTCACATTGCCATGCTTTCCCAAAAGGTATTCTCATCCCAGATTGAGTGGACTGCAGTTCCGACCTCCCAGCGGGACTCGAACTATGAAACGTTAACGACTACGTCGAAATGCCACGAGCACATTTGTGTGACAGGACAGATGTAGCTTTTAAGGAAGGCCAGGCATTTTCACACAACACATTCTGTGGTGGGGCGTTCGATGAAGCAAAGTTATATTTGTTAAAGCAATCGAATATATAACTTATTGTTTTGCTTGTAAGTAGGCTCTAGAGACCATCTGTAGATCATATATATGAGGTGTATATACCCTATTTTGTTTAAGATGATTAGGGAACCGGCTATTGAACTTTACTACAATATATGAGAGACCTTACTTTTGCTTTGAATTTCACATACACTTGCTCCTCTAAAATGTATTATCAGCCAGGCAGGAGGGGACTGCGGTTTTGTTCTTGCCTGAACTGGGATACTGTTCGTCTTGAAAACCTACTTATAAAATAGGAAAATATTATTTATGCCTATCTAACTCTATTCTCAAACAGTTTGCTTCTAATTGCCAGTTATTTTTTAATGCCTTTTTTATTTCGCCACTATGGTTGCCAATTGTCATGCTTTGCCAATCTACCATTCCCTCTGATCATCAGAAGTCATCACCTCATGCGAATTGGGAGGAATACGGCTCTTGCCAAAGGTCTAATCGTAGTATAGAAACATACTTAACAATTTCACTATAGTAGAATAAGAGGTGATGTGGAAAAGGCCTGACATACCTTAAAGTCGTCTCTGCCTCGCGACAGTGTCAGTATGATGTAGGAGTGACATGATTCCCGTTAGGGTAGCTGATGAAACGCCAGCGAGGTCGAAACTGAGGTCCAATCCAGCCCGGATAAAAATACTTATTGAAATTTAATGTAACTGTGAGGTGCTTTTTTATAATCGTGGGAGAATTCAATTATTATTTGAGCCTTTCAAACCCATTATTCCACTAGCCTCTATCCGCAAACAACCCATTCCGAATTATCATTATGTTTGATGTGCCGAGCTTTATTTTGCGACTATGCAACTATGGTGTTAGGAAAAATTGTGAATTTTTCTAGTATAGCCTTATCCTCTTTTCGCAACCTACTATCCTCTCTGAAAACCTTTGTGGGTTGACTATCACTACTTTGAGTAGGAATTAAAAATATGATCTAAGCTAACTTATCATTATCCTGCTGCCAGGAAGCCAAAATAACCATTCTTATACATGACAAATAATTTTTGTGTCAATTTAACCTCACCTAGAAAGCGAAACGGAAGTCTTGTTACCTGATTTTAGACAAAAATGTCAGTTGAACATGATCTTCTTGTAAATTTCTGCCCTACTCTTCAGTGAGTTTGAGTAGAATATGCATTAAATAGCTCCATTAATTTAAATTTTAGTCTGGAATAAACTCAATTTGACACCTACCAAAGCTATCTTTCCTCGTCTTCGGATGGGTTTGAACTACTGAGCTATTCTTCACACAGTTTTTAGCTCAGCAAGTGTAAAGAAACAACTATATCGAAAAACAATTATCCTTCGCATGGTACAGAAACACTCCACCCATGTTCCCTCTGTCGGCTGCAACGCAAGCAAAAAGTCTATCAGACCAAAATCCAACCCGACACCACTTAATGTCACATCAGCCTCCTCTGCCAACTATGAGGTTCGGCATGGTGAGCGTCGATCGACTTTTTCAGAAGCAGAACTAAAACCCGTCTGCTAAAGGCCCGTCGTAGAAGCAGTCATTTGAGGAACTATACTCTTAGCTTTTTTTAGACGACTTTTTGACCTGATTTTTCCTTCCATTTGTCTGGTATTCTCAAAATTAACCGAATCCCTATGGATTCAGACCAAATGAAAGCCCAAGCTGTAATGTAGTGGATGTGAAATTCATATGATTATGGGAAAATTAAACTACTAGTCCTTCAGCACCTGAAACTAACTAGAGTGAATATACTTTAGGCTGTAGGCCGTTTGATGTCTTCGGGTCTAAAACCAAATCCCCATCCGCACTCGCCAAAAGATCCAGCCGGACTATGCATAATAAAAGTGGATTATTAGTCGACATAGGTTATAGTTTTATTCAAACTTCTAAAACCGACTATTGTAATTAAATTTTTTATTTATTGTTTTGCAGCCGGAGCACTGTCTTGAGGTGATAGCTAAAGATTCAGCCAAGAAAGATCCCAAATCAACCACCGACCGGATTTGTATTCGCGTTCTCGACGTTAATGACAATGATCCGATTTTCAAGCATATTTTTGGGATA